CAGCTTTCTAGCTTTTCTGGTTCCCGAGTTAGTAATTTTCCCGCAGAAACTTTCATACGCCCTTACGTAAGTACCACGCATAGCTGGGGGCTGAATATGAAATATTTCAGTTGTAACTGGAAATGGAACGTCACCCTAAAATTTCAACTTTGCAGCTTTTCTGGTTGCCGACCCGCAAGATATTTTACGTGCTCTTACGTAAGAACCACGCATACCTGGGGGCTGAATTTAAAATCTTTAGCTAACACATGCACAAGGAACATCCGTACAAAGTTTCAGCCCCTTACCTTGTCTGGTTTCCGAGATTGTTTCCCGCCAAAAAATTTGCAACTTTTTTAAAGCGTCCGTACGCGGCACCCAGATGTCCGCGGCGGATGATATTAAAACGGGAGGATTGCGCATGGTATAGGCACATACTCCCAAAGCTCCAGCTTCCTAGTTTTTCTAGTTCTCGAATTGAAAGTGGGTGACAAAAAGTGCGAACACACACATGCACACACACATACAGCTTCTTCCCAATATGCGTTTTTGCAATTTGCATATATGCAAAAACGCATAAAAATGCACAATGTAAATGGATTGTATATGTGTATGAGCATAACGTCTACCCATAAATTTCGGTTTCCAGTTCTGCGATACTTATAAAGCTAAAATTTTTGCTTTTGTTCTATTAAGTATGGGTCTCTATCACGACTTCTTGTTCTCAACGGACAAATGAAAGATATTCTGGCGACAAAACAATTTCGGTAATCAGGTATGTTAGAAGGCTGAAACAACATGATGCTCTTGCACCTTTACGATCTAAAGAATTTAAATTCAACCTTCAAACACCCTACAAGTGTCACGAACAAATAGCAAATTGGCGCCATGCCAGCGCAAAAATTAGGCTGATTAAAAAACTGCAAAGAGCTGTAATTTCACAGTGCTCGCAAAGGTAAATTGAGATTTCACGTTTCTCTACATCTCACCTAGAGGCATATTTGGCGCAGACAAAGCATTTTATAACTCCGGAGCCAAAACAGTTAGAATCCTGAAGTTTTTTGAGCATAACTTGCATTGATGTTTGAGTACGCAGAGGTGAGAACAAGTGGGGTGAGAACAATCCTTCTACGTGTGAACACGTGAAATTTGATGTTAACAACTTTTTAATTCGCAATTAAAATTTCTGGGCATAGCGCAAAAAAGTTTTCACGTTCTCTCTAAATCTTTCGTACTGACACTTGCAATTTGACGCCGGCCATTTTGCAGCTTCATATCCGCAGCAGTTAAAGGGCTTGTGTGTATGGTCCCTGACCGTACTCTGGTAAGCGTATACGGAAACAGCTTTCGCGTTCCCCTCATCTCAAATACAGTGCAGTTTGGAGCTGACAATTTTTGCATGACACCTTAAAACCGTGAAAACAGCAATGATAATAATGAATTCGACTTTCATGCATATTTCTATACACTTGACTCGAAGTATTCGTCCAAATAAACGGTGTTACTTAACATCAAGCATCTGTGGGAGAAACTGTGGGAAAGAAACCCGTACAACCTCACTGGCTACCTTGGTGGGCGCCGCTGTTGGTTTATTATGCGTTTTTGCAGCTATGCAATGCAGAAAACACATACTGACGAGGGATTGTCTGTGTGTCCGTATGTCTGTGCGTACGTCTGTCACGCACTTTTATCTCAGGACCTATAAAAGCTGCGAGGCTGAAATTTCGGGAACTTAATCTACATGCACGTGCCGGCCCAAATCCCCAAAATGGGCGCCAACACCCGCGTGGTATCCGCGTACGGGCCCGCCAAAATTTTTTTGAGATATGTTCATAACTCGGAAATCTGAGAAGCTAGAACGCTGAAATCTTAGAGTGATGTTCCCCGTCCAAGTAGGTGTTAATGCATTGAAACCCATCCCTCGGGTAAGCGTGCTACCCGCGTACTGGCTCGCCAAAATTTTTTTCGGGTAATTTCATAACTCGGGGATCTGAGAAGCTAGAACGCTGAAATTTTACAGCGATGCTCCACGCCCAAGTTGGTGTTAATGCACTGAAACCCATCCCTCGGGTAAGCGCGGTACCCGCGTACGGGCCCGCCAAAATTTTTTTCGGGTAAGTTCATAACTCGGAGATCTGAGAAGCTAGAACGCCGAAATCCTACGGCAATGTCCCCCGTCCAAGTAGATATTAATGACTTCAAGCCCTGCCCGAGGGTAAGCGTGGTACTTACGTACGGGCCCTTGAAAGTTTCTTCCGGGTAAGTTGCTAACTCGAGAACGTAAGAAGCTAGAAGAGTGGAATTTTGAAGGGATGTTTCCTAAAAGTTCTGGCGGCTAATCTGAAGTTCTTTTAGCTAGCAGCATCTGTCGGAAAAACCAGTGCCGTTAGCGACAAAAATCTGTGGGGAGCTATGCAAAAAATGCACCTTCGCAAAGGTAACTCGTGCGCTGGCCAACTATGTCTTTTGCAAGAGGCTGTGTGTGTATGTGCCTTTGTGTTCGCACTTTTTGTTACCCAAACCAGAAAAACTAGAAGGCTGAAACTTCGGAAGGATGTGCTCACAACATGTGCGATCATCCGTTTTAATATCATCATCCGTGTATGCCTGGGTCCTACGTATAGCCGCCTCAAAAAAAAAAATATGCAAATTTTTTGGCGAAAAGCGACTTCGGAAGCCAGACAAGGCAGAGGGATGAACTTTGCATTGACATTCCCTGTACATGTATGTGCTAAGTATTTCAAATTCAGCACTTAATTGTTCGTGGTCCTCACGTACGGTCACATGAAACATTTGGCGATGAAACTGTTAGTTCGGTAACCAAAAAAGCTGGAAAGTTGAAACTGTAAGGGGATGTTCCTCGCCCACGTACAATTTAAAGATTTCAAGCTCAGCCTTCAGGTATGCGTAGTTTTCACGTACAGGCACTTCAATTTTTGCTCACTGAACAGCTAGGTCATTTTCAAGAAACGACCGCTAAACGGAAATTGTTCATTTTTCTTTGTGCATAACTTACGCAAATGAATACACGAGGAGGTGTGAAACAGCAAATATTCATGTAGTTAACGTCCTGATTACTTTAAGTTTGATACAAAAACGCATGATCGCATCGGCAAGCCTGGTGGGGTTCTAGTTCACTTTTTTAATAATAGCGTGTAACGGCGTTTATAATCTATCGTGGAAACATGCTATTACATTTAGCGTTCTTTCACTAGTGTAGAGGTATTCAACCTTCAATGTATTAACATCTATTGATTAGGCAGTTAGTGGTTCGTATCTTTCGAGCTTAGTTGGACAAAGTGGCGTGGTTTCTTTCGGTATGCTTGAAACTGCCAGGATTTATACCGTGCGTTGTCACAAATGTCCAGTCCGCTACTGACTGCAAAGAAGGATGAAGGGCTTAAATCAGAAATTTGTATGCTGCTCGTATGATTGCAGCTCAGCAACACCGAGGATTTCACGACTATGTCATGATATTGAAAGTTTATTTGCAGACGGATTTCTGCCCGGCAGATAACTGCTGAGGTGCACATATAGTAACGAAATTATTTTACTATAAAAGTTTACTTACCATTTTAGCGCGATTTTTTCTCGCTGCCGCACACGATCCTTTGGCTACTAACTGACCATCGCGATTGATTACATTAATTTCGTATTTTTCCTCGTCAACAATAGCCGATGTCTTCAGACACGTATTTAGCCATTCGCTTGACAGCACATATTGTCCTCGTAACATTGCTTCCAAAATTTCAACTGCAATTTCGTAAATAAAATTTTTTTCAAGTAAAAGTAGCAAGCAACAAAGCGAACTGATTATTCCACTCCGCGAATGGCCGTTTATTATCTTACCTTCACAATTCATTTTCCAAAAATTTCTTTGCCAGAAAGGATTTAACCAATGTAATTTTAAATCCTAAACTCTGTTCATAGTGAAAAAAAAAAAA